TTGTGACAGCTCATCATACCCTCTGGTTGGAATAATATCAGCCTCTAAGGTGAGCCCTGGGGCTTTCATTCCCACCCGACAGGCCCCCTGAACACCACACACAGCTCTCTCCAGCCTTTAGCAGAGTGGTTTTGGCTTCTCTTGACAGCTGTTTCTAAGGGTCAGGGTGGGAAGATGCTCCCAAGAAAGGGGTCTGTGGTTCAGGGTATTTACATGAATGTGCTGTTTAATAAACGTTAGTGATGAAGAAGCTAGCTCCACGCCACTGCTACACCGAACGGCATGCTGGACTTGGCATGGGCAGGAATCTCACAGAGATTCATTCAGCTCATGACAAGAAGGAAGGCATGACAAACAAGGAAAGGTGTGTGTGGGCGGATTGAAGATTCACCCCACCCCCTAGAGCCGGACAGGACCCAGCCAACAGGAACAGAGCTTTCTGGCTGCAGGCAGCATTTGTTCTGACTGAGGATTGAGAATTAGAATCAGGCTTCTGAACCTTTTAAGATTGGGGGTTTGATTTTGTTTTCCTGACTGCATCATCCTCCCTGGATTGATCTCAGAAACCCTCAGGAGCACAGCAGGGCCCCGAGAGAGCCAAAATGGCCTTTGGATTAGACATGGATACGAACAAGTCATCTCCTCAAAGGAGTGTTAGTTTTTTCCCCGCCCTCCCTTCTGAGCCCTGTAGCACTGGCTGGGCCCCAAACCCTGTGCCTCTGGTATAGAGTCAGTTCTGGGCTTGGGGGACCAACCTGGAGACAGGCCCCTCCTCATCTGAACTCTGTGTAGGCTCCTACACAGCAAGGCCTGTACCTAGGCCCAGTGTGGAGGCGGGGTGTGGGGTGAGCCAGCTGCAAGGCTTGTCTTCCAAGAGCTCACAGGACGACAGCACCCCGCATGTGTGTGGGGCTGCTACTTTTCCAAGGGCTTTTAAATGCATTATCTTGTTGTAGGCTCATTTGAGGCAAGGACTCAGAGCAGACTGGAAAAACAACTAATTTAGTGAGTCCTGAATGGAGAGGAAGCTGAATGCAGCATGCAGTTTTGCTGAATCTCAAACCAAAACAACCTTTTGTTAAAGAACAAACAAATAAACAAAAATGCTGAACGCTAATTCACCAGGGAACACAGTCTGAACTGGAGCTCCAGGCAGAGAATCACAGCAGAAAATTCAACAGGCATTTACGGAGCAGTGAGGAGCCTGCTGGGATTACAAGCCAGCTCCTGAGTGAAAGCTTTTGGGGGCACAGCAGCATGTCCTTGCAGCAGGGCACAACCTTCCCGGAAGCCCTCCAACTCACAGGAGATGCTGGCAGGAGGAGTTTGGGAAGAGAGGTTCTAGGTGTGGGGCTCTGAGCAGAGAGGCAAGGAGGGGCAAGTTGGAGTGGGGAAGGGGATGTGCCAGAAAAGGAGGTCCTCTTGGGAAAGGCCTGGATGCAAAGGTTTGGGGACAGGTGTCTGATGTCACCAGCCTCTGATAGAATCACAGTTAGAAGTAATTTGCAGTGAGAGAGCGGTGTCCTCTAATTATCCATTGATCCCCTAACCCCCAACATCCCCTGAACAAATAACTTCCACTTGGTCCCCCCCCCACCCCTTCTTGTTTGTTAGTTGTTTTGTTTTGTTTGAGATGAGGTTTCTCTGTGTAGTCCTGGCTGTCCTGGAACTTGCTTTGTAGACCAGACTGGCCTTGAACTCACAGAGCTCCGCCTGCTTCTGTCTCTGAGTGCTAGAATTAAAGGCGTGCACCATCACCACCCAGCAACTCAGTTCCCTTCTTTTAAAAAAACATGTTTGTATGTGTTTGTGTGTGTGGATTTGCATGTCTACACCTATGTGGGGGGGGGCAGTAAAGATATGTGTGTGCTTGTTTGTGTTCACATATAGAAACCAGAGGTTAACATCTGGTGTCCTTCCTCAAGTGCATCTTACCCTAATTTGTTAGGCCTCCTACTGATTTGCTGATCAGCTGACCAATAAGCTTCAAAATCTTCATGTCTCTACCTCCCGAGCACTGAGATTAAGACACAATACTGCAGTGATGGCTTTTATGTGGGTGCCATCCATCTAAACTCGGGTCCTCACACTTGCATGGCAAACACTGGCTGAGCTATCTCCCCTAGCCTCTATCTTTTCCATCTCAATGAGCCTCAGAGGCCAACTTAGCCCTCCTAAGGGTCAGGTGAGCATGGACTACTTCCTAAAATACCTGTCATGTCTTGTAAGGGATCATCCACCCTGCTGAAGTCACTTTGAGTAGCCCTGGGCCTTCTAAGATCTAAGTAGCAGCAGGTCATTTGCAAAGAAGCTGGATCTGGCACTGACTGTCCCTTGTTTCCTCCTTCCAGTTTGGATCTAGCTTTGAATGGATCTGTCCTCTGGAGATACTGTGTTGGAGGATTGACATTCAGTGCATCGTGCTTGGAGGTGATGCTATGGCGAGGTGGTGGAGTCATGAGATTGGCGGCCATTTAACACAACCTAGCATCATCTAGAAACAATCTCTGTAAGAGATTATCTACACTCTGGGGATATCCGTGAGTGATTGTCTTTAAGTTCAATGATAAGGGGAGTGACACAGCCCACTGTGGGCGGCATCATTCTCTACACAGGGCATCCTGAGCTGTGAAGAGCTGAGTCACTGAGCTGAGCACAAGTGCGTATGCATTCATTTCTCTCTGCTCTTGACTGTGGGTGCAATGTGCCCAGTTGCTCCAAGCTCCTGCTGCCCTGACTTTCCACAGTGATGGACTGTAGCCAAGAATTTCTAAGCTAAAATAAATGCTTTCTCTCCTAAGCTGCTCTTTGTCAGGATGTTTTAGTAACAGAAACAGAACTAGACAGGACACTAACTTTATTGGTGGTTTAAGCCACTGAGGAGTTCATGTTGAATGCTACTGTGGTGAAGCCTGGTGGACAGAAGCAGTCATGAAGGACATCTCTTCCTGCTTCCTGGCTAACAGGAGGTAAGCAGCTCCCACCAGCTCCCTTATATCTGTTATAAATCAATGCAATGGATTGAACCCTCTGAAACCATAAGCCAAAATGAACTTTTTCCATTTTCATTGATTCCCTCAGGTATTTTGTCACAGTGAAAGAGAAGTTGATTAACACCTCTTCGCTGGCACAGAGAGAACTGATTTTGGGGAAGTGGCTTCTTGTGTTTCTGGGACCTGAATGGGGATACTTTCATGGTTGTTGACTATTTCCATCTCATACTTCTCACTCCTCCACACAGACATACACACATACATACATCTCACTCCTTCAGGCTACAGCATGGAGACAAGCTGGCTTTGTCCTGCAAGGCAGTGGTCCTGCTGAGGTGCTCAGGCCTATGGCTATGAGGACAATTTAGGCACTGGTGACTGGGGACAGAGGAGTGGCCAGAGAAGGTGAGCTTGGGTGAGCCCCCCCTATCTGTACAAGTCATGCTTTCCAGCACCACTCCTGTGCTTCTAAGCTACTTCAGGCCATTTACACTGCTCCCTAAAAGGTCAAGGTATGTACCTCCATGTTCCCTTAGCATTGGAAACACAAGCTCCCTGTGGTAATTCAGACAGGAGGTTTTTTTTTTTTTTTTTTTTTTTTTTTTTTTTTCTGTGCCCTCTGAGTCCAGGAGAAGCTAGGCAGCTCCTAGCATGGAAGGTGAAGGCTCTACCCGCTCCTTGAGCAGGTCAGAGTGCCACTGTGACAATGGTGGCGATGACCACAGCCTAGCTCACTCAGAACGCTTCTTCAGTGGTCCTCAGAACTTGATCACTCCATTGTCTGATGGTTCAGGACACCCTGCCTAGAAAACGGTGCTACCAACAGTAGGCTCTGTCTTTTCACAGAGTTGAACTTAAGTAAGACAACCCCTGACAGATATGCAACAGGCCAATTCAGTGGAGATAATCCCTCAGTGAGACACTTTCCCCAGGTGACTGTAGGCTGTGTCAGGTTGACAACTGAAGCCCACCACCGTCATGATGATGTTGGAGGCCCAGCTGGCTCTGCATGTCTTCCTCATCTACACTGGGCACACCACATTTCTTTTGTGCCATTCTGCAGAGCCTAGGCTGACATGACTCCAAGGGTGTCCATCCGCCCAATAGTTGTCTTGTGACCCTCTGACTCCTAATGCTGGGGTTCCAGCAGAGCTTGAGGAAGCAGTTGTGCCTTTAAGCCCTTTGGTCTTGGGGAAAGCAGAGCCTTTGGCTCACCCCCGGAAGCCCTAACACTGGACATGCCATCCAGGCCCTGGACCTGCAGCTGGTCTCCAGCTGGTCCCTAGTCCTGTGGCTGCCTTTGTGCCCACACAAGGGAGACTCAGTTCCCCTGCTGCTCTGTGACCCTGCTTCCTGTGTCCACATGGGCACAGCTCCCTGGCACGTGGGGGGGGAGTGATGGTGCCAGCTGCCCCAGAGAAGGAGCCAGACCACCTCAGTGACCCCTACCTCCTCTGGGCTGTCTCCAGGGGAAGCTGGTGAGAGCTGCCTACTGCAAGGAAATAAGTGAGCTAATGACCCATGAAGGCTCCTGCCCTCCAGCACAACCATGGCTCCCCCTGCACAGAAGCCTACAGCTTCCCACTCATTTGGCCACTGCCCACAATGGCTATTAACTGTCAAACAAGCCTTCTCATATAAGGCTGAGACCTAGGAGTTGGCTTCTGACTTTTCAGGCCCACCTGGGGCTATGTACACAGTAGGTGATTAATAAATGTTTGCATGGTATCAGACCCAGAAACAAGACACCTTCTTTCCACGGCTGGAGCAACCTGGAGTCTTGGGGTGCCTAGGCTGAGGTTGTCAGTGGACTTAGAACATTCCAGTGTGCATATTCTGCAAACTTGACTCACCACCCCTTACAGAAGGTGTAGGATCCCCCCTCCCTACTCCCTAGGGCCTGGCCCTGATCTCTCAGGCAGTCACACAGGGATGTACTGTGCTGGTGCTCGGGAACAGCACTCTTCTTGCTCACACACTCCCCATGGC